AAATTATTCTAACTCTTAAAATTTAAATTGATGATCATACACAAAACACTTTTATGCATAAATCAATCTAATTAAAATTATGAAACATAAAATAAATCGAATTTAACCAAAAAAATAAGCACGAAATCAAAATTTAGGGCTATTATTTTCGAAAAATTCGAAATTAGGGTTAGGGGTGTTCGAAAATTTCGAGCAAACTAGGGCAAATTTTCGGTCCTCTTTATGGCTATTTTGAGAATAATTAAATCACATTTAATCAATTCCAAGAGTTAAATCACATTTAATATAATAATTGAACCATAATTGAATTCATTCTCCCTCTTATTTGATTATAAAATTATGAACATGGACTTCAAATAATCGTATTATTATAATCAAGCGTGTTCATGCAAGAGGCTAACTGATAACACCGTAGGACTTTAGGTACTATAAGCAAAATTTCATGAATTACATTCATACGCACCTAAATCAAGATTACATGCATAACACACAAGAATCACATAATTATACCTTTGAAGCGTGAATTTCACGTAGCTATTCGATTGACAAATCAGGGAGAGAATAGAGCCCCAAGCGTGACTCCTCTACTTAGTCCACGGGACTCGAACAAGCGTCCACCAATACTAGATTAGTCGAGTGAAGGGGAAAACGACGATCACCACCTTTAATGGACAACCAGACACCACACGAACACCACAACCACGAGCATACCATCGGCGCCTAGGGAAGAGGAGAGAGGGGAGTTTGAGGGGTTGGGTCTCGTGTTTGCTAATTAGGCTTTCAACTTAACAGTAAATTGTTCTGCGTAAAAACCTAGGCACCAATTCTAAATATAATCCTGTTACAAGGTTACCCAAAACCCTCCAAACCAAGCCTCATGGGCGGCCACCTAGAGTGATGAGGCCCATCATGGCCTCGTCCTCTTATGCTTGATCTAGGCCCTTTGTGTGACCTTATAGGATCCGTCCAATTGGAATTTGACCAATTTTACTAACCCAAAGATCGTTAGTACCTCTAGCTATGATATAACGATGACCCAAATGGACGAACCTAATTATCTCCATAATTTGATCCATTATATATCTAGTAATTGCACTTGACAATGACATAAATCTTTCATGAGCCACCCCCTCTGAGGGGCAAATGTTTAGGGTAAAAAAATACCCCAACACGTTGTCCAATCCCATAGTGGCACGTGGCCTAATGAAAAGGCGACACTTGTCCCTATAGGAAGATGACACGTGGCAACCCTAAGAGCACCTGAATGAGAGAAAGACCTCCTAACATTTGGAGGCCCAAATCCCGAGAAAAGCGCTGAAACGGCGCCCCCAAAAGACACATGTCCTCTCCTGATTGCGCCGCCAATCAGAGCCCACCTTTTTAGGGTACCAATCCTAAAGTGGCACACATTCCCACCCCTATAAATACCCCAATCATTTATGATGGGGGGGATTAAGACATATCATTCCAGAGTATTAAATTGCTCCAACTTCTCTCTACTTTCTCTCTCTACATTACTTCATTTTCCGGTCACTAACTTGATCGTCAGAGACGAATACTCCGTCAACCGGAATATTCGTTATTTTGCACGTGTCTAAGACTGTCCGGCCGTATTCATGACCTGTATCCCGAGGGATTCCAAAAAACCCCGAAACATACATAACAACTGAAGTTTTACTCACCAAATTCGCCGCTACTCCTGTTGCCAATTGACGCTACCAGACCAAATCTAATAAAATTCGACCACAACCCACCAGATTTACAACCCTCTACCATGCCGCTAGCCGTCTCACTCAACAAACTACAACAAAAAATGGAGATTAAACTTTAGTTGGACGACAGGGAAAGGGAAAGGGAAAGTGAGAACAGGAAATTAATTGTAAAGGGATGGGGAAGCACACCAATTCGTATTTCTGTACCACGTGATATACACATGCATATGGTAATACACCCAAATACAAAGTGGACCCTGCTCCAAGTTGTGTTGGGCAAACTAACCCCAACAATTTGCTTGGTTTAGCTTTACGGCTTTACCCATGACAGTTGGACTTCTATTGAGTGATCGAGTTTAGGTCGGGTTAAATATATTATCCATTGTTATTTATTTGTAACGTTGGAGTTTTCAAGAATTCTAATACACATTTATATCATTAAAATCTTTAATTATATTTATTACGAGTAGTTAAAATATTGTTAAAGTATATATTGAAACGAAAGTAACAAGACCCCACTCTTTTTTATTTTTTTTAACCGTGTAGATCATAAAAGACGGTTAAATAAGCGTGTGTAAATAATGCAAAATTTCAAACATCGCGATTAAATATTAATGGAGTAAATTTAAGAATGTAAGAGTGAGATTTATGGGTTAGAGTTAACATTAGTGACCAACACAATGGGAATCGAACCACTTAAAAATCAAATACTTCAAACCAAAAATCGACCTAAATCATTTTTAATCAACTAGAAACTAATCCGAATCAAGTAATGTTGACTCTATTAAGAATGAATCCCGATAACAAACCAAACTGCGTAAGGGCAAAGTTTCGACCTAATAGAGCCCTTCATCTTATCTAAATAGAAAAAAAAATTACATTTTTGATAGATAGCACTGGTTGAGCAAGTAAAATTTATTTTTGTGAAGTATGTGATTGTAATTCAAGTCCCAGCGGTGACATTTTTTCAAAAATTATTTCATTCATATTCATTGTATGCTTGTTAATCATAATGCAGACATCACTTTTAGCATCCTAAGTTCACAAAATTTGGTAGTGATTACCTTAATGAAGCTCCAATTTTCAATTTCCTATGTTCTTTTTGTAATATAAATTTCCTCATAAATTTCACACATATTTCATTCACGGATTAACACTAATATTTTTAAAAGGATTTTTTTGAGAGCTGATACACATACAACCATTATATGTTGTCCCTATATATAACACCACTAGAAATTAAAATACATCATCAAAAGAGGATACTCCCTTCGTCCCATAATACTTGGGACGTTGGAGTGGACACGTATTTTAAAAAACTACAAGTGGGTCAATATAAAATATTTGTTTATTGTATAACAAATTCTTTTTTGTATTTTTTTATTGTAAGAAAACAACAAAGTGGGTTGGAGTGGGGTAGGTAAAGAGAGAGAAAATGTGGAAAAATATTTTTTTATTAGTGGTTCCATTCCATTTTTAGTAACGTGTCAAGTATTGTGGGACAGATGTAAATGAAAACTGTGTCAAGTATTATGGGATGGAGGGAGTAGAAAATTAGGAGTCAAATATTAATTGAATTTTAATGGAACTTGGGCCCATTATTTTAGCCAATAAAAATATGATTAATTAGAGTTGTGTGTAGGGGCCACATACAATTGTTATATATATATTTTTTTGAAATCAATTGTTGTATTTGTAGCCTTTAACTTTAAAATTCTCAATATATAATCTTGCCCCTCTTGATGTTAATGTACTGAATTGTTTTAACCCAAAACCATTTGAACCCTAGAGAAAACCATTTAAACCAACATATTTCAACCCGTGAACCATTTAAACTGAACTGTGACTCTTTTTTTTTTTTTTTTAACTCGAACCGATTTTTACTCATAGGCATGGCCTATTTAAACTAATCGCTTATAACTCATGACTTGTTTAACCATAACCGATTTTGACTTTGTGAGAGTTATGACCCATAAAAACCTGGATCATTTAAATCAATCAACTTACAATCTATGACCCAACATTTTTATATAAGTGCTTGTAATTCAAATTTAGGGGCTGAATGATCAAAGGAGAAAAATCTCAAGAAGAGTTCTTCTTTCTAATTTTGTGTGATTACATAACTAATGAATAGTTTTTGAGCTTATTGTGCATGTCTGCATGACAAAGGTTCAAAACTAGTTACAAAAATAAATAAAAAATTCAGCTAAAAAAAATACGTAGTAATCAAATTAAATAGAAATTCTCTATTCAAAAAAATCAAATAAAATACTATCGATATTACTAGTGCATAAGAATATCCTTATGCAATCGAGAATTTCTACACAAATCTTCATAAAAGTAGATTACAAATAATTGAGAGCACTTTTAACTTCAAAAACACGTCAGAAAAGTTTTGTATGATACAAACACATGCATGCATAATGCATTGCATACATATAACTAGAGGTGTCCATTCGATTTTCGATTTGAATTTTACCCAAGTCCAATTCGATCCAAAATAATTTCGGTCTTACAAATACTTAGGGGTCGTTTTGTTCGCACGGGGTAAACGGAATGGAATGAACAAAGAATGGAAAAGAATGGAATGAAAATATCTTATATTCTTTATGTTGTTTGTTTTAAAAACAAAGGGAAACAATCTTACTAGTCCCACCACCACACCACCACCACACAACCTAATTAATTCACTTTCCACCTTTTCCAGCCACTATCCATCCACCAAACCACTCGCCACATATCCCTAACCATTCGCCGCCCTTCGCTGGCCTTCCCCTGCCCTACGCTGGCCTTCGCGCAGCTCTCCCCTCCCCTGAAAAACATCCCTCAGCCCCGAAAAAACCCTAGAAACATCGCTCCCCCGAAAAACATCCCTCACTCCCCGTAAAACCTGATGTCCGGCCCTCCCCCACCCTCGAAACCCTAGCACCTAGGGTTTCGAGGGTAGGGGAGGGCTGGCCGGCTGTTTTACAATAAGGTAGAAGGGTTTTTTTAGGTCTTTATGGGGATGAGGATAGGGTTTTGGGAGTGCGGACAACCGACGAGGGAAAGGGAGGTGCGGCGAGGGGTGGGGGAGAGGCGGGGTGGGGGGTGGGGAATCAACTTAGAAGGATTTGGGGAATGAAGAGGGTAAAAGGAATAGAAAAAAAGGCCTAATAAACAACAATAAAGGGAATCAAGACAATTGATTCCTATTCCCTTTGATGAATACTCCCAACCAAACGACGCCTTAATAAAAATCCGCCATAAGTAAACCGGGCGCAAGTAAAACGTTTTGTAGTCCCTAAATGTATTCTCTCCATAAGGAAGCTTTATTAACCAGTAACTGCAACCATTAGACAGGATGAGGTACTGTGCTTGTTCTGGCTATGGCTTCCCTCAACTTTACTCTCCCGCCATTGACACCCATTTCATTTTCTCTCTCCTCTCTCACTCAATTCCATGGCCGAACACTCCCACACCATCATTCTTCAATACCCGCGTCTTCTCTTCCCATTCTACCACACGGCCAAATCCAATTAATGAAATTCAAAACTCCCAACATCAGCTGCACTTTCTCTTTGATTTCCGACACTTCTGGGATTCCCATTGTTGAAGATGATGAAAGTGGGTTTATAGTTGTAAACTTTTATCACTTTGTTTATATTGAAGACCCTGAATTTGAAGTTTCCAAGCATTTATCCGTTTTAGAGGTTCACATTTCTAATCTCTTCTTTTGTCCTTTTCTTTGCAATTCTGTTATTTGGTTCGATTGAATTGGTGTTTGGCTCACACAATTATGGTATAAAGTATTTTGTATGAGTTTGGAATGGCTAAATTCGATATACAAGTATATGTTTAAAACATTTTTAATTTCGATACCTATACCTCAAAGGCTCAAACCCACAACGTACGGGGTTTAAAAACCGAGGGTAAGTGGGTATGAATCATACGGTCATACCAACCCTTCAATTATAGAATAAAGAAACAGAAGATGAGAAGGATATGAATTCCTGGACAAAATTGAACATCCATTATAATCTCAGATTGGAGTAATTATTTTGGGTTTATATTTATTTATTTTTTATTGGATTTTTTTTATATGGATGATAGATTAGAAATTGGAGAAATTGTGTAGGAACAATGTAAAATTAGCTTGTAATTTGTGTACTGTGGCTCATGGGAGTTCTTATATTTGGCAAATGAGCAAAAACTAAGTGTGGCTGTACTATGCAACTGAATGTGGTTGTATTTTGCGTAGGGTACTCTCTGGTGAAAACTGTTATATACACCTGGGTGCACCGTGCATCCAACTAACTCAAAGTTAGTTTTTGCTCTTCATTTGATGATTAAATGAATATCATTAAAATGAGAACAAAATACTCATGGGTGCACCGTGCACCGTGCACCCGGGTGTATATAACAATCTCTCATTCCTGGTGTATATTGGACATCGTTGCACCAATAGGTTTTGTGAAAATTGTGTTTTTGATTGGGGTGATAATTGACAAGTGGGGATGGTTTTTGACTAGGGTGTAATCAAGCTGAGCCCAAGTTGCTGAGCTTTTATGTTCATGTATTCCTTGTGAACGGTTCATAGATGGCTCATATACTATTTGAGTCAAGATCATAAATTGGCTTATTGGAGAAACACATTTTCTTATGCATGAGTTTTTTTTTTCTTTTATTTAAAGTGATTTCACTTTAAACATTTGAGATTATCAAAATGAAGCTGAATAATCGTATTATAAATTTTGTGAATTAGTCAATAATGTTCATTAAATGAGCTTTGAGCTTTTTTTAAAACCGATGTTGTACATGAACATAAATAAACAAGCTTGTTCGTAAATATAAATAAACAAGTTGTTCATGATTAATATATATGAACAGTTATAACACTATATCTATTCTTCATGCTCTAGCAGTCTAGTTCATTCATTAAACAATCTTAATAGTTGTTTAAGCTTGGTTCATTTATTATATAAACAAATCTAATTGAGCTTAAGCTGAGCTCGTGCTAGAGTTGCTTATTAAGAATCTCAGCTCATTATTAACTGTGAAAGCTGTGGTAACCAAGATTATAAAATCGTCAAAATTGTGTAAAAGTTGTGTGATTTTTTAATTACTTTAGTTTCTACAAAAATTATTCATTATATTATTATTTTACACACTAAAATTAGAACAATGGTAACAGGCTGTGAAACCATGAAGTCCCAGATTAGTTTTTCTGATATATACTCAACTTCCCACGTATTATACCAATGGGTACCACTAAGTTTTTAGAATTTTACTTGAAAATTTTCTTTCCATTATGTTCATGATGCAAAATAAATGTGTGGGATGTACGAAAAAGGGAAAGACAGAAGGGAAAAAGGCATAGGAAAAAGAAGGAAATGAATAAAAATTAAAATTTATCACTGATTTATTGAGTAGGCTATGGAGTAAAAGACAAAACTATATATATGGCAGAGTTAGTTAGCTATATTGACATAGAAAAAAGTACTTAAGCTTTTGCAGCTTGTTATCTATACAGCCGTCTATTTCACGTGCTGCAAGTCTGCAACACAATGCTATAGCATTCATGAATAGAATGCTTCATGTTCGCTGACTGGAATCAAAGCACTTTCCTTACTTTACTCTGGTTTTCCACTTATAGTGAAACTTTTGCTTTCAAATTATGTACTTCTGTAGTTAGGAGCATCGAATGTTCTAGAGCTCTATATTGAAGTTGAATTTATGAAAATTTCTTAGAAATTTTGACCATAGCTCTTCTTATCATCACAAAGTACAATAATTTGTTAGGCAAGGATCCGGATTTTTATACTCTTGCAATTTCAGACAATGCAGTCTAGTCATATACTTTTAATCTATTACTTAGATTTATTGACTCTTTTTCTTTTTTGTTCAGTAATATTGGCTTTATGTTATGCAAAGACATCTATACGTAGCCCTTTCAAGATTTGTAAACTACTTCTCTTTACTGATAATGTGACCAGGAGCTTGATATACATGGACGGATATATATCAATGAACAAGGTGTTAATGCACAGGTATAATTATCCTTTTGTTGGGTTTATTTTTTTCTTTTTCTTATTGATCTTCAAGCCACATTACTTGACCAGTACATCTCATAATGTGTATATACAGCATATTGTCCTTTGCTGCTACATCTTTAAAAGACTTTTCCTGATGTGCATTATGTTTGTGTCAATCCGAGCTCCTCAATTCTACCACCCTGAAATTCTATTGATGATTGAAGCTAATAATATTACAGGTCTTGATATACTTGAGTTCGTTTTGTTCTTACGAATCTATATTCGTTTTTCATATGATCTGTTCCTCACTCCCGTCCACTTCCATAGCACGACTATAAACTATTTAGGTTTAGAATTGGAATGGCAATATCTTGTTTGCAGAATTTTGTTAAAACTGAAAGTTTGTGCAATTGACATTAGCATTGTTATTTGATGGTTCACAGTGTAGCTGACTGTTGTGCTCATTGAATTCAATTTCACTCATTATGGTGCTATGAGTTCTCAGGTGTAAACTGGTGTCCTTGTTTTTGGGTTTAACATGCTTCATGGTCTTGTAGGGTTCTTAGGTCATCTTTATAAATTCGTACTTTTGGGTCTAGCCTGAATTGATGACTGATTTCTTATTTGGATTGACATCTTGTATATTCTTTGTTATCACAGTTTAGTGGACCATCAAAAGATGCTATGTCGTATGTGAAATGGCTTAGAGATGACCAAAGATTCACTGATATTTTGGTCCAAATTTCTCCTTCTAGTGGACATGCATTTCCAAGATTGAAGATGCGTTACAAGCCTTCACTGGTTCAGGCAAGTTCAATATGCAACATTTTATGACTACTGTCACTCATTATCTCTTCCACCTATTGCTTTTTTGTCAATTCTTGATTGACATTATTTGACATGTAGTTTGATTTAGGAGCTCAAGATCTTCCTCTCCTTGATCCCTCAATGCGTGCAGAACCTCTATCACCATCTGAATGGAGGGCTAGGTTAAAGTCACTAGATAGCAATCATGACAAAGCAAATGACGATCACAAGAGTTGCATTTTGTTGGATGTGAGAAATGGTACCTTTTTGCTTCTTCATAGTTGACTGTGATTTTAACCTTTAACTAGAAAATCTGGAATTCCTAATGATGATAATTAGCAGAAGGATTGGAGAAATATTTTGCAATGTCTTTAGTTCTTTACTAGTTTTGAAATAAGAATCCTGCTGTCCTCTTTTGCTCTCTAAAAGTATAATTTTGATAAAAAATTCTCCATTGTTCTAGACTATAGGCAGTGAAGAATTTGCAAATTTTACTTCTTTCTTACTCTAAACATCAATAGTTTTGCCCCTCTTTTTCTTTGTCTTTTCTTATTTTTTGGTGGGGGTTGGGGTGGTGGGGGAGTGAATGGGGTTGATCAAGTGCTTTTTCCTGATGTGTGGCTCTGATGTTTAACTTTTATGCTGTGATATTGGATGCTTTTAAACTTTGCATGTCCTTATTTCAGAGATTAAGTTTGCCTTATTATTTTGTGTCAGGTTATGAATGGGATATTGGTCACTTCCAGGGGGCTCAACGTCCTGAAGTTGACTGCTTTAGAACTACTTCTTTTGGGCTATCAAACCTACAGGTATTGCTTGACAGAATTTTCAGCATACATTTAGCTCTTGGTGTACAAGGAGATCTTCTTGATTTGTTAGAAAAAAAGCACTTCTTATTAACAACACAGTATCCTGTATTATTTAATTGCTAATAGAAAATGCTGTGACATGTTGCATGAAGAAAACCAATATACTCCGTCCGCCCCACAATGTTTTTGACACTTCCCTTGTATGGATGTCCCAAATTATCTCAACTTTACTCTTATGAGCAAAAAAAAAAAAAAAAAAAAATCTTCTCTCTCTATCACGTCAACACTTTTTTAGCCGATATCAAACACTTTTAGTAGGAGGGATAACCAAGGTTTGGGAAGTTGCAGGCCTTGCAGCCACAAGGCATTGATAGAAACTGATTTTAGCGGATAGTGACTATTTATGAACAGGATTGCAGCATATTATAATGCATTCCAGATTCAAATTTAAACTCAATAGTGCTGATATAGTAAATACATTTTAACATACAAGTACAACCTCTATTCACTAATGTAAATGGTTGAGAGAAATGAGAACTCAACCTGAAACCTGAAAGTGGAATTTACAGTTGTTGAATGATACCTGAGAATCTGAGATGAATGAAAGGATTTTCTCAGAGTTGGGATTTGGAGAAATAAAAGGATTAAACTCCCTATTGATGGAAAAAGGGCAAACTGGCAAAGATCATGGAATAAAACTAACACATATATCAACTTGCGTATAAGAAAACTTCTGTCTACTACCTTGGAGAAAGGTTCAAAAATTTTGGCTCCTTCTAAATTAATGGTCTTGGCTGACTGAGGAGGCCAGGTTAGTCAAATGATGGTTAGGTATTCAAGGACGCAAGGTGACCTTGTTTTCCAGGGTAAAGTATTGTGGAGCAAATGCCTTGAGCCAATGTTTGAGTACTAGGCATCGTGTATGATGGGGACCAAGGCATAGATTAGACTACTCATTCTGAAAGAGTGTATCTTAGCACAGTGGCTTATAGTGTGCCAGTTTATGTGCCTATCCAGATCTATCTAGATGCATTGGGTCTTTGAATTGACTCTCTTGGCTAGTCTACTTATGTATCATGTATTCATGTGTGACTTGGGTTAAGGACTCATGGTGACCTTGCTACTCATCTTTATTGCTTTCTTTAGATCCTCTTGATTTAGACATACTTTAAAGGATGTATACATATGGTTATGCTTACATTATAAGTTTATTTGCTTATGGCCTGATATTGTTTATTTTATTATTTTCAGTTGGTTTCTCTTGTCGTAGTTGAATTAAAAAACTTGCTATGTTTTGTAACTAAGATTGAAAGGTTGAATGTGATTAATTACATAATTTGTGTGTTAAGCTTTCATACTAGTGAGAGTTTTAAATCTCTTTGCAAGGATCCCTTTTGTTTCTTGGTCCATTAAATTGGACTAATACCCCTAATGACCTAATAAGTCCACTCGAGGAGCCTTAAAATTGCCTTAAACTACTCAATCTTCCAAACCATTAAAGATTTAATCTTTTTGTCAAGAAAACCAATTATCTCATAGCTTCACTGATGAGATCCTTGTCAATGTACCCATGCCATGGGATAAAATAATTTTATTAGCTTCTTTGTGGGCTAAGGTGGCTTGAGATTTCCCAAAGTATTCTGTAAGAGTACAGAGTTGAGATTTGGGCTAACCTGTTTTTTGCTTTCTTTTGCGAGGACACCTTACTCTCCTTGTGTATTACCTTTGCTAAAGCTTTAGTAAAAATTTTTTTTAAGAAAAAAATGTACCCATGCCATACTCCTTTGAAAATCTTGAATTATCTTCAACAATAGGGTGTACCCAAACTTTGTTATTTCCTACCAAGTTGCATGTATTATTTCAATTTTTAACCACAATATGTTTCTAAAATCATGCTATCTGACATCTTAATGGATATGGACATTCTGTTATGATTCTTGGAAAATAGTTGGTAAATACAAAAATACTTGATGTATCAGAGTCAGGTGCTTATTATATGTCGATGCTTTTGTAGAGGCAAGAACATATTGTAATCTTGTGTGCAACATCCTGTCATAGCCTATCTTCTTACAAGTCGAAGCTTCTGTAAATGCTTTGCATAACCCTCTTAATTAAGGTTGCTTAATTATGTGAATGTGTGGAGGTAACTTACGTTTCCAGTGTTTTTGTATTGGTACACTTGTATATTGATCAGAGTGTGGCTTAGATTTGAAGCACTAGGTAAATAATCTCTGGTTTGTTTAAAATTATTTTTCCTTTGTGCCTAGAAGGCTTGATTTACCATGAATTTAGAATCATTTTACCATGTCATGGCAATAATCATTCAGAGATCTAAGTATAGTCAGTATACTAAATGAACTTTGGCTTGTGAAGTCCCTGGTAAAGGTATGCATTTGATGCCACATTGATGTCAGACAGGGGAGGATTGTCGATGGATCTTTAATGAATCACTAAATGACTTTGAGAACACTAACAACCACCACCATCACCACCTAGTATGGATCCTGTTATGAGCAGAGTCTAGGGATGTCAGATGAACGAACCTTTGTTATGGGCTGGTTTGGTCGAGTTATAAGATCGAATAAACAAGAGATTTAGAAGACAAAGGCTTGAGCTTTTTGATTAATAAAGAAGAAAAATGAATTACAAGATGATAATTTGAGGCTATCAGTCTCTCTAGCAGCTTGAGGCTACAAGTTTCACTTTCATTACATTCAAATTCTCACATAGTTGCTACTACTGTTCTATTAGCTAATTATACTCAAGAACTACCATGCCCTAGGCTTAATTAACTTTGTCTTCTACTACATCAGAAACTCAGAGAATCAGCTTGCCCTTTGCACCGTTGCTCAATGCCATAGTGGAACATTAATTTGCTTTGTCTTCACCTCCCCTGCTGTCACTTGTGGCTGATACTTGTTTCCCTCCTTTTGGACACACCCTGCTTTTCCTTTTCCCCTTCTCTCGTACACCTTTAGTGGTGGTTTGGGTGCGCTAGTTGAGTCTATTACAACCTTGTTGTACTAATAAAGCATGTTAAAATCCTCATTTAATGAAGATGATATTGTTGTATCCTTTTTGAGATATTTTTCCATGAGCACTACTCTGGTATCTTCAAAATTTGAGTACCATTGTTTTTAGGTCATGAAATTGTTAAACATGTGATAATGTTCTCTTTTGTGTTTTCCAATTCAGGTGACTGATTCAGATCCTTTAGTGAATGTTGATAAAGATAATACAGATATTTTAATGTATTGTACTGGAGGAATTCGCTGTGATGTATATTCTACCATCCTCAGGTTGTTCCCTTCTCTTTTTCAATTTACATACTGTACTTAAAAGTACAGTGGAAGTTGGAATATTAAGAAGTATTGTTTACTTTCATCTTAAAGATTTTGTATGATGAAATACCTAATATTAAATTTTACAGACAAAAGGGTTTCAAGAACCTTTACACTTTGAAGGGTGGTGTTTCAAATTATCTCAAGAAGGAAGGTCCAGAAAAATGGGTAGGTAATTTGTTTGTATTTGATTCTCGCCTTTCACTCCCACCGGCCACTTTCAAGCCTGGAGCCACAACCTCAAGTGGAAGTCAGGAAGCTCCGACTAATAGCAAATTTGCTCGATGTTACATATGTGGTTCACAAGTTAATGAATTAAGACATCGGAATTGTGCAAATCTGGACTGCAACCTCCTTTTCCTGTAAGTCATACCACAAGTCTTAGAAATGCATGTCTTTATTTAATAAACATAGTGAATATTATAACCTCCATTTATTTAAGTTTAAGTAGCAACTAAAAAAAAAAAAACTCAAAAGGGGAACTACACATGTGGGTGGGTACTTTAACATTTACAATCGTTGTTGCATACAGTACTTTTATTTGATATTATTAGCCTTTTTAATTATCTTATCCGAATTTATCAGAAGTTATTAGCCTTTATCCTATCTTTTGTGTACTTATTAGACCCAAAATCATGGAAAATTAGGTGAAGAGAACATAGCCTTTGAGTGTGTTCTATTCACCTGATAATTATCATAACTTATTAGAACTTATTTTGGTTAGAACTTATTAGGTGAAGTAAACATAACTTATTAGAACTTATTTTGATTGTAAAATAAACTTGAGTAGCTCTTATTAACCTTTATAAGAACTTATCTAAGCTTGTTTTTTCTTAATAATACTAAAAACATATTTAAACTTAATAATTCTTATTTGAACTCATTTTTCTTGAATTAAGTAGAAATAAGGTGAACAAAACAATGATTTGGAGATTTATTAGATGAAATAGAGTCCAAATAGGTGAAGTAGAAGATGATGAAATATAATTAAATGTTGCCATAAAGGATATAAACGGAAAGTGAGTAGAACTCAGTAAAACAATTGAGAACAACAAAGTGATGAACTCCAGAAAACAGAGGCAGTATTATATTCAAAGGCTTTACCTTGAAGAAACTCCTAGTAGCACCACCCCCTTGTATTTTATGGTATGTTGCCACATCATGTGTATACATGATTGGGCTTTCTATTGTTTACTTATATTTCAAGTACTCGCAATGAAAGAAAGGTCATTTGCTTAGATTTGACACCTATATTGGCTATATAAAAACAATTCATTATTAAAATCTTCTTCGTATATTTTAGTTGCAACACTTGTTGACCTTTTCACTTTTCGACTTATGGTATATTAACTTCGTTCATTTGTCTTTATTTTTTATTACTAATATACTTTATTAAAAAAAAATTGTCAAATAGTAAAATATTGTTGGATTGGCCATATGCCTACCCAGCTGTGGTGATGCTGCCCCCTAAAACTTCCTTCATATGTGCTTAAATCCATGACACTCATCTTTAATATCACTACTCAATCCATCTCTAAATACAATGCCACATTTGTACTCCGTACTTTAGGCCATCCCAAAAAAGTGGACCACTGTATATTTTCCAAGTAAAACATTGAACTCTCTGAGTTTTTGTTTCTGATACCTCTAAGTAAGGGCTTTATAGAATAACTGCACTGCTTTGATAAAGCTGAAATTCTTATATAGTGGAGAGTAGTTTTGGAATTAGTATTTAATTAGAATGTTTGTAAAACCTTCATGTATTAGACTTGTTTGAAAACCTATCTATTTTTGGGGTTCAATAGCTGTTTGTTTTTGCTGCAGTTGCTGCAGAAACTGTGTGGAAGGACTGAGAGGGTGCTGCTGTTCAAATTGTAAAACTGCTCCACGGCTAAGACCTGTTTTGTTTGGAAGCAGAAGGTACCAAAAATGGCACCTTTATCGAGATAGTAAGGTTAGAGAAGAGATTTCTTAGTTTGAATCACAGCACTAACTTCCCTCTATTTGCATTTGATTTTATGTTATCATCTTCTATATTGATGTGTAGCAAACTGGAACTTTTAAAAAATTTGATGCATTTGTGCCTTCTGTAAATATATGTGATGAGAATGAAATTAGAAGTCCATGATTTTGATTAGGTTGAGCTTTCAAGTAATATTCAAAATTTTAGTTCTTTCTTTTTTTCATAGTAGCTTTAATCTTCTTTGGTTGTAAGTAATTGGTTCTTTTTCCTTCATTATCCATGGCAAGCTGGTAAAACAATGTTGCACTTGGTGAGTTTTAGTTTATGATTGCCGCTTCTTTATTGCCTTTGGGTAAATGCATTTTTTTTAACTGTCCTTTGGGTAAATGCATTTTTTTTAACAGTCCTTTGGTAAATGCATAAGCATGATATTCGTCACTGGTTAAAGGATATGTATGCTTTACATATTATTTGAAGATTATTTGGTTAACCCTTCTTTGGACTGAAACATAATATTCAACTTGGGATTATGAGTTAAACATGAATTGAATGAGCATATAATGGCCCTAAAATGTGTGTTTTGATTTTTAAGGACTAGCTATTTAACTGTGAGAAGATAAAATAGGGAAATCCAGGTTGTTATCTAAACCCCTAAAATCAAATAAACCAAACTTCGAAAATAGTATGATTCTAATGGCCTAGTAAGGGTTGAATTCACAAGAACTACACTAACAGTACCAAACACAATGTTGAGGTTAAGCTAACTTGGATTATTGGTAAAGGAAAATTATCTAGAACTAAACTAATAATAACAAGTTAGAGATCAACAAGTAGAGAGAAAACAGAATAAGAAAGGCACTAGAGTCTAGAGGTGTTGGAGTCAAGATTGGGGGGAATATGGGTACGGACTATAGAGTATTAGGAAATAGGAAAATTCGAAATAGGGTATATGGAGACACGACATGAACTAGACATGAAAAATTGGTTTAGTGTCAAGGGTTTATAACACGTATCTATAAATGGGTCAACACAACACAACACGTTTTATTAAACATGTGTGGTTAGTGTTGAGAATTCAAACGCGAAAATAAAACAACTTGACCTGCTTAAGAAAAAAAAAACAATAGATTATGGAATTACTAGTAAATATTTTGAACAAGGCTATCCTTTATAACGTACAACATGATAACACAAAACCTTTTTTTTTCTTTTTTTTTTTTTGTGACAAGAAGAACTAATAAAAATAAAGAAAAGAAAAAAAAAACAAAGCTAAAAGGACTAAAACAGAAATTCTCGCTGCCTAGCTTTAACGAGGAACCTTACATTATGAAGAACAATTGTGAGATAGTAGACCGAATATCCTTGATCAACCAACAACAGGAAACATCATCCGAACAACGGCCACACAAAATATCAAACAACTTCACACAATTTGTATAAATAAGGAGACGACGAAAACCCTTGTGACCAGCTGCCGAAGGGACCAAAGACAGACCTGAAACTCTGCCTGGAGAGCCGAGAAAGAATGACAAGCTCGGGAGCACCCACCTAGAACCAAATCCGAACAAACCTCCCTGAGAATCCAACACCATCAAAGAGAAAACAAGCCTCGAAAGCCGCAGAAAACTCCCCCTTCAGCCAGAAATCAGACTCGGAAACCCGCCAAGCAGGCACATAACCCCCAGAAGAACAAGGTGGAGAAATGAAGTCCTGACTTCGTAAAACCAGTCCTCATGAAAAAGAAAAATCATGCTAGGAGAAACCACTGTCTAAATTTTTTTTGATTACGGGCAAGCCATATAGCCCAAAAGAAAGAAATAAAAGAAACAAGGCCTTCCCAATTCTTAGAAATGCGGAACTCCGTGATGGAGTCGACAAACCACATAGAAAACGGCTTTGCCTGGAAAACAAAACAAATCACATGCCTATGGGCCAGAAGAAAAGGAACAATCACAAAAAAAGATGGCTAGCTGTTTCCAAGTGAGCATGACAGAAAATATAGGTACCATTCATCGGGAGTTCGCGTAACTGTAGGTTTGCAGAAAGAGGCAAAGCATTATGAAGAAGCTTCCAACAAAAACACTGTAACTTAGGGAGAAGAAGCAGACCCCAAAAACGTTTCCACCAAGGTTAAAGCATACACTGACTTCGTAGTGAATGACCCATCCCTAGAATACTTTCAGTAAACGAAATCATTAATCCGCGTTCTTACGCGTGGGATCCGAATTTGGTTCATCGGTATTTTGATAATTCTTTAGCATCTCGCTCCTAACTGGCCCCCTAGAACCTAATCATCCTGAGCTAGACGAACTTGGGAGCCCGAACCAACCTTCCAAACAATGCCCTGAGCAAGAGTGGACAAACCATTCAAAAGACTACGGCAACCCCAGGTCCGGCGAGTCTGAAAAGAGCGAAGAGAAGGATACTTAGCACCTAGGAGCTTTAAAACCAAAAGCTGAGGATGCTGATCGATGCGCCAACACTAACGAGCAAGAAGCGCAGAGTTAAAGCTCTCCAACCTACACACACCTAAACCTCCCATCCCCTTAGGAAGATGAAGAAGGGATGCAGAACGCATCGCTAAACCCCGTGACGAAGAGTTTGACCTCCACCAAAACCTTGCTAATAAGTTATCGATATGAGAACAAATTGAAGCAGTAATTCATAGATACTCATATATACATTCTCGTGTATCCCTAATCACATCTACTCATATGCTATAGTTGATTGGCCAAAACAAATGCTGTAAAAATTGAAGGAAACGAGCTAGTGAAGAGTTAAATAAATAACCCTTAATCCTACCCCTTATGAGCTATCAATCAACTCATCATTTCACCTGTAGCTTTTTGTTTGTTTTTTTTTTTTTTTTTTTTTTTTTTTTTTTTTTTTTAAACCACCAAAACACCATCGATCATTCATGAAGTAAAGAGGAGTTCAAGAGTACATACTAGGGGTAAGCAAAAAACCAGGGTACCCTAAATTGGAACCGAAACCTGTTAGGAACCGCAAGTTTCGGAACCGGAAACGGAACCTGTACAAGAGGTTTCGGTTCCGGGTAGCAAAATGGAGAACCTATTGCAACAGGTTCCGCTTCAGGTTCTCAAGTTTTTGGAACCGCAACCTATAGGGTACCCTGTAACCTAATAAAAGTATCCCTTAATTTCAAATTATACACCAATTCTAACTTATTTTTTAAATGATAAATATCAAAATTACAACTACTATTATTTTGTTTTATTTGCGAGTTGTAAACATTATAAATTAGTGACCAACCAATTTTTTGTTAAAGAAATCTGCAAAAAGTTAGTAACTATATTACAATACAGGGTACCGTGAATCGAAATCGAAACCTATAAGTTCCGATTCCGATTCCGGTTCCCACTTTTCAGAAACCTGTTCAACAGGTTGCGGTTCCGGTTCCCATTTGGAGGAACTTGTTATAACAGGTTCTGGTTCCAGTTTCAAGAATTTTAATAGTGTACCCTGTTATGCTCATCCCTAGTACATACAGTGTAATTTCGGGGGGACAATAATTGACCCTAACTTGAATCAATCTAGCTAAATGATGGGCTATAAAATACCCTCCTTTTTACAGGAGACCACGAAATAAAATTAAAGCCAAGTACATAATTCTAAGACATCATCAAGAACGTTGTTGACGGCCGATAAAAAGGTTGAGGCTTTGTCCAATCTATCCACTACTACTTGTGAGTCAAACTCTACCACCACCTCATTGAGTTTGAACTTTTTACTCAGCTTGGTACCAAAGAAAATGGCCATACAGTCAACTACTACCGGCGACCAGGGACCTTTGACGCGCCTCCCGAGTTCCAGCAAATAAAACTTCACCCTTTGCATCCCTGGCCACTGAACCGAGCCCCACCCAACCACCATCAAGAAGCGCAGTGTCACAGTTCACCTTAATGGAATCACCTAGGGGTGCCTTCTATATTTTGGGACTTTTGCCAAGCATAACATCCGTCGCCCCATAGATCTTTGAAGTGTATTTATCATTATCAGTCACTAACCTGTACTCTCTCGAGAAGCAAAAGGTGCGGGATCTCTTTATTGTTAAAGACTTTCTTATTGTGACGATGCCATATGTGACATAAGAGTAGTACTTGTCTGCCAAACTTTCAAATCATATTCACCCCATGCCACCACCTAGTTAAGAAAATCATTGAGTTTATAGTCCCTGAGCAAAACTTCACAATTAGTCTTAGTCTACAGGTTCTTTACAGCATAGCACTAAAAAATAGCATGCTCAATCGTCGCACTTTCCGAGCACCAGGGAAGAGATCATTATCAATCATGTGTTGTTTGCGGAGTAACACTCAGACATGTAAAGTACCTGAAACGCCATAAGAAATGGCGAACTTTCGGAGTTGTTTCCACCTTCCAAGCTTCAACCAACACATCAAAGTCGTAAGATTTCCCTAATAAGAGGTAAGCATACTTTACAGAAATATATACCATTTTTCGTGAAAGCCCAAACCTCACATCACATGGAGCACGAGAACTAATAGGAATTGATAAAATGCAATTATGATCCCGCTCATTGAATATCTTAGAGAGGAGCTCGATATTCCACTCATTTGAGTCCGACCTGATCAAGTCACTCACCAAACTTGCTGCCGCAACCAATGGCTCGTCACAGATACTGATTTGATTCCCATCCCCAACCCTCCAAAGTAGTCCCTCTTTTAACAGCGCTTTAGAACTCCAAATACTCTTCCACAAGAAACTCCCATTTAAGCCCAAAAAAGACTCAAGAAAGGAAGTGTGATGGTAATATTTCCCTCGGAAAACTCGAGCACGAAGGGAATTTGGTGCTTCAGTCAGATGCCACACTTGCTTACCCAAAAATGCTATATTGAAAACCTCAAAATCTCTAAATCCGAGCCCCCCTAAACAATTTGGAGCACACAAAGACTTCCAATTGCGCCAGTACACTTTACCCTTAGAGGAAGAGCTCCCCACCAGAATTTTGCCACCATCGATCGTATTTCATCAAGAATACCCGTAGGGATTATGTACACAACCATGAGATATGTTGGGATGGCCTATATCAACGAGTTTATCAAGACTTCCTTCCCTACTTTGGTAAGTAATTTCTCCTTCCAACCATTAAGTTTCTTCCATATATGATCCTTAAGGCGGCAAAAATCTGTTTTTTGAATCTCCGAAT